ATTTTAGAAATGTGAAGATGGAAATCAGCCTGTATCTTATTAGACTATGAGAAAAACTTGCCTGTTTGAAATAAACATTATTAAAAAGGTCTTTTTCTTCTCTGAGACACTACCTCACTGAAGAATTGCAGCTGACTTATGCTTTAATGGCTAAAATATTTGACATTGGGACTTCTTTTGTCTGTATTCCTTTCCCAAACTCCCTCTGAGTAAGGGAACTTTTATTCACAAAAATGTACTTAGAAAAACTATTATGTGGAATTTCATTCTTGAATGAATCAAATCATTTTTCCCATTCTTGAAAAAAAGTATTTATAAAATAGATACCAACCCCCACTTTGGTAATATTATCCATGAGAAGAAACAGAGCTCTGATGTGAGACACTGTACCATTAGCAGTTCCCAGCATTAATAAAAAGTAACATTATAATCATTAATTTATAAGGAATTATAAGGTATCTTATCACATATACATAGTCTATGCTATATAGAAAATACAGTATGTAGATGTGCAGAAAACAATATCAAACCTTGTTTTGTATCTTTAACCAAAGAGGAATAGTGAAATCAAATTAAAATAGGCTAGTTTTTAACTATAAATTTGTAGTACAATTTATAGTTATAAACAAATCACGACATAAGCAAATGTATTAAATATAATTTTATAAGTTTAGTTCTTAAAAAAATTAAAAAGTGAAGTTTTTAGTTCTCTTATTTGTTGATGGACCTTTTTTTATTCATTTATTTATATGCAGTGCTGAGAATGAAACCCAGTGCCTCACACTTGTGAGGCAAGTGCTCTACCACTGAGCCACAACCCCAGCCCTAAAAAATTCACTTTAAAAATGTTACCCTAGATGTCAACAAAGTTAAGTGGTTTAGACGGGGTCATGTAACTAATAAATTAATAGAGCTAATAATAGAACTTTGGTCTTCTTTGGGGCATGGTAGGGCATGCCTGTGTGCCTCCTGAAAACAGTGCATACCACCAATGAATATTTTGGGTATGGGGGGAACTGAAGCTAAATCTGATCAAACCTATGAAACTACCAACTCAAAAGAAGTAAAGGAAATGCAGGAACATGTTAAACAAAATGAGTTTTTTATTTTCACCTTAGTTCAGAACCTACAAGAGAAGTGGGCTCCACTGAACACCCCATGCTCTCAGCTGGAACAACTGAAATGTATGCCCTAGCAATGGAAGCAAATCATAGGTAGACAGAGCCTTGCCAAAACTTAATCCAGCCTCAATTTTTTAATACAAAATCTGATAAGGATATTACAAGAAAGGAAACTTTATAGGTCAATCTGTCTCAAAGATAGATATAAAATTTCTGAACAAATGTTAACAAATAAAAGTTAGTAATATACTCAACTTGATTGTGGTGGGTATTAAGTTGAGATTCCAGAAATGTAAGGTTGGTTGTTCAAAATATTCAGTCAGTGAGTTCTACCACTTAACAAAACTAAGATAAAAATCATAACCATTTGAACAGTTGACACTGATAGTTGCCTATAAGATAACCATTCCTTCAACCAGTTTCCCTGTTAGAAGAGCCTACCTCTATGGTATAGATTGAAAATAAAAAATAATTGTTTTCTTGGCTTTCCTTGTTATTATGTTTTCAGCATTTCCTTTGATCCTAATAAGAATCAAGTGTGTGTGTGTATGTGTGTGTGTGTGTGTGTGTGTGTGTGTGTAAAGAACTATCCCATCCAGATATAAAAGTTACTTGCTTCCTAACTTTGTATCTTTAGATAATGATAACCCAACTATTCCTTAACTGGGTTGCTGGATTCTGTTTGTAATGTTTTATCCAGAGCTTTATATTGATATCTATAAATTAATTTAGCTTAATCTCCTTTTTTGATGTTCTATGTCTTTTTAAATAATACATATATAAAAAGAATTTATAAGTTTATAAAACAAACTTAAAATTAAGCCTTTTATCTTTTGTTAAGGTTTAATACTATTTCTTTTTTTTTTATGAGTAGACCTTTATTTTATTCATTTACTTATACGTGGTACTGAGAATCGAACCCAGTGCCTCACACATGCTAGGCAAGCGCTCTATCACTGAGCCACAGCCTCAGCCCCACTATTTCCTTTTTTTTTTTTTTTTTAATCTTTTTTTTTTCCCCAAGATTTAATACTATTTACTTTTAGTTTCTTAGGAGTTAGTTTTGGTCATTTTAAGAATATTATCAGTTTTATCCCTGTTTTTCAAGTTTATGTGTATAGAGTAAATTTTTCAAATTTCATTTCTATTTTCCCATTTTATTTTTATTTGATAAATCACATGTAGCAACTTCTAGTTTGGCATAACATTTTATACCCCAAACCACAGATTTTAAAGAATAGTTTTAGGCGGGGTTGTAGCTCAGTGGTAGAGCACTTGCCTCACACATGTGAGGCCCAGGATTCGATCCTCAGCACCACATAAAAATAAATAAAGATATTTTGTCTATCTACAACTAAAAAAAATTTTTTTTAAAGAATAGTTTTAATTATAGATGGACACAATTCATTCATTCATTCATTTATATATGGTGCCGAGGATTGAACCTAGTGCCTCACATGTGCTAGGTAGGCTCTACCCCTGCTCCACAACCAGAGCCTCTGAAGTCACAGATTATTAAATGGTAGATGGATTAGGAACTAGTCTCTTAGAAATAAAGAAGTAGGAGGTCTACTTTCTCCATCATGGTTTCTTAGTTCCATGTAAAATAAGAAATGCCTGTTATTAAAATATCTCTTATAATTTCTAGCACAATGACAATCCTTATCTTAGAAAGGTGTGGTCCTCTAAACCATCTAAAAGATCATTTAATAGAACAAAATGTTGGTCTAGGAGATAAACAAATGCCAATTCTACTATCCATATGCTCAATTCTCCAGCTGGTTTATCCTATTTGCACATAATTCCTACGAACAACTGAATAAATGCTTTATAGCTCACGAAACAAAGGGATAAGAAAACACTTTCATCTCATTTAACAGTGAGTTAAAATAATCAAACTAACTTATAAACATAACTAACAAGTATGATTCTGCATTCAGTTCCTTGATCTCTATGCCTTCAAATGTGAAGATAATGTGACCTCCAAAATATACCCAATAGAGGGTCCATTTTAACATGTTATATGTTCTATGTAATCAGAAGATTAAGAATTTTTAGTATAAGTCAAGGGATTGGCTTGGATTCTACCAAATTATTTAACAGTCATAATTAATAGCAGCACTTAAAAATATGTTATTAGGCAATTATAGATAGATTCTTAGTATATTATTTTAATTGATAAAAAGTACTCTTTAAATCATCAGTTCTCAAAATTTTTGGTCTCAGGACCCCATTACTTTGAGGCTCCCAAAGAGTTTTTGTTTATCTCAGTTATACCTAATAACAATTACTATTCAAGAAATTAAAACTAAGAACTTCTAAAATATTTAACTCACTTAAAAAGAATGATAATAGGGCTGGGGATATAGCTCAGTTGGTAGAGTGCTTGCCTTGAATGCACAAGGCCCTGGGTTCAATCCCCAGCATTACAAAAAAAAAAAAAAAAGGAATTATAATAGGGCCAAGGTGGAGTGCCTGCTTGCCTAGCATGTGTGAGGCTCTGGGTTCAATCCTCAGCACCACATAAATATAAACAAATAAAATAAAGGCATAAAAAATATAATAATGTTACTTAAAAAATGATGATAAACTCTATTGTGTGTTAGCATAAATAAGATTTTTAATAAAAATAACTATTTTCCATAACATAACATGTAGTAAAAAATATACTGAGAAAAGTGACAATTTAATCACATTTAAAGATCTCTTTTTGGGCTGAGATTATGGCTCAGCGGTAGAGCGCTCTCCCTAGCATGGGCGGGACGCTGGTTTGATCCTCAGCACCATGTAAAAATAAAAATGCATTGTGTTGTGTCCATCTACACCAAAAAAAAAAATTTAAAAAAATCTCTTTAATATCTGGCTTACTATAAGAAAACTGGATTCCCATATTTTTAACATTCAAGCTGTTGCACTATGTTGTTTCCATTAAAAGTATGTGAAGAAAGTCTGACCTCAAACAGACACATGGCTGGAAAAGAGACTACCTAAGGACTCCTGAAAAAGGTTTTGGGGAATTCACTTTGAGAACCACTAGATTAAGTTTTGTATGGAAAGGTAATGTTTCATTTGTCATGTTAATTTCTTCCTCCATTAAAAATTTATCTGTTACAGTCACAGATAGAATTGCAAGACAGAGCTTGAAAACTACTTTATCATTACTCTAATAATGAGCAAGTTATAGTACATTTAAACATACACAGTAGGATGAAACTAGTTTTAGTTACTTGGTTATCTCCTCTAAGCTTTTCTCTCCTACTCTTCACAGTGACTGTTCTACTGTCCTCAAAATCAGTTTCACACCCACAACTTCTCTACTCACTCTTCTACAGATATCTTCACTTCCTATTTCTTTGAGAAAATAGAACCCCATTAATCTCAAGCCACCAACTCCGAAGGTGCATCTGTACCATTTTCTACCCTTGGAAACAGAAGCAGTGACCTCTATATGATTAAAAATTATAATATTAAAGAGAAAACTCCCTTTGTTTTAATTCTTCTGATTAACTCTCCTTAGATTTCTAGAACATACCAAACCTGTATTTAACAAAGTAGACTCCCACCCCCTTATCACTTAGTAAGCGTATCTCACTGAAAAGAATTTGAGTCCTGATAATTCAGGCTCTTTATGTATTTCAGGATTAGTATTCTCATCAGAAGTGAATGTATTTGTACTGATTGCAGATAATAGCAAAAATTCTTATTTAAATACAAAAAGAAAAAACACTAATTGTAATTTATTTTTTCTCATTTAATTCCATCATTGAAGCAGAATATGAAGAAATTCGTTTTTGGAGGGTTCTCTTTTAATTGTCCTAATTAATAGGTCTTCACATTTTTTTTTTCACCACATAGATTTACATAAGCATCAGCTTTTACCTTAACTGGGAAGCTACATTTTCCAGTGCGAACTCCTTCTTCATCTGTCTGCCACTGATGTGGACGACTGGCCTCTGGAACATAAACGTCTTTCTTTCTCCTAAAACTTTGTCGTAGTTTGTTCATCTTAATTTTTATAACCTGTGACAGAGTAAAAGACATATGAAAAAGAAGTTATGATTTTCTTACTTATTTAAACTTAGGATACCATACTAGTAAAAACATAATGCCCCAATTTAAAGGTTTTGGCTTAAGAGGAAATGAGCAATTAGTATATTTCCTTTTAGAATGATAAGTCAAACAAATCATTTTTTTTTTTTAAAAGACAACTACAATACTAGTCCTTATAGAAACTACAACAATTTCAAGTAGGAATTGAAACAATATTATTTTAAGAAATTTCAAACATTTAATTTCCTAAAACAATGAGAAATTCTCCTTATTGATCTATTTCTCAAATTAATTCTCACTTCTGGAAAATGAAAATTTTACATGTAGGCCAAAGTATAGACTATTTAACAATTTCTAAAAACTTTTATGCTAACTTGTTAAGAAGAATATCATTCAGAAACTTGGGGATCTTTTTGACTTATTATTGAAAGACAATAGGCAAAGCAGGAACTGTAGTCATCTTTTCATAAAAGATATTTTATGACGAGGATGAAAAATTTTCTTTCAACATAAAGAAGAAAAAGTTCTACCAGGACTAAATTAATCTGAAGAAAAAGACGAACTAACTGATAAGAAACAACATTCAAGACACAAAATAAACATGATAGAATAATTGCCCCTTTATAAAAGAGAAAAATCTCAAAATGTGAAACTAATACCTCTAATTTTCTATTAAGAAGCATGGCTCATTCTTTTTCAGAAGGATTTAAGAACCTCAACTAGCCTCAAAGTGATCTTAACTCCAGAAATGATGTAACAAAATTACAAAAAGAAACCATATTCTTAGGAATATTAATTTCCACATGACCGTAATGAAAGACTTGAGAATCAAAGTTTGCATTCTGAGCAAATCATTTTGTATTTTAAAATGTATAATACCAAAGCAGAAATAATATGCCAAATTAATTTGCAGAGACAAGCCAAGCTTACCACGCATTATAAGTAAAACTTCAGACAAAAAATATAAAAATCTATGGACCTTCTAAAAATAAATAAAAGCAGATTACTCATTCCAAAAGGTACCAAAATGAGAGTCTATCTTAATCTAATAAACTTCCAAAAATTATTCCATAACCTTCCTTGAAAACATATCCTGTTATATTCTTTTCAAATCACTTTTAAAAATATATACAGGAGAGGCCTGACCCACAAACACTGGCAGCCTCTGCAGAGAGGAACACCCCATGCCTGTATGGGGAGGAATACCTGGTACCCATGCGGTTCCCTATTCACCAGAGTGTGGCTCCACAGCCCAACATCAAGGTACCTACAGGCTTGACACAGCAGCTGCAACCAAAGCCATAACGTCACGGCTTCTATCTAGGGACAACAATCATGACCTGGTAAAATGTCACCAAGGTCCCTGTGGGTCTGGGTGCACCAGAGGTATCTCTACTAGGGGTGCTAACAATCATCGTCCTGTTGCAGGGGTAACAAGGTTGACTCTCTTTTTTCTCCTGCTAACAGCCAACTTCTTTTGGTTACCCTTTCCCTAGTCATATAATCTAATACCTCTATATTCTCACATCCTACTCCCTTCCCTGTCTACCATTAGAAACTGTACACCATTATGCAGACCTATTGACCATATATATGGTAGAATATAACCAAACTCATCATTTCTGCTTATAGCAACAAAACAGTAAATGTCAAAATAGAAGCTAATTGATTTATTGCTACATATTGGTTACACTGGGTGCTGGAACATTGATACCCCCTTAAAGGTAAGGTATTGGTAACCTGCAGGGACAGTAGAAGACAATAGGGTAGAAGCTGCAATACCTCAGATCTACACTGCAAGAGAGGAAGACACATAGACATCATGAAAAACAAGTGAGGAAAGTGCCCCAAACCAATCAAGATACTACAAAAATATAATCCATTGATAGCACAGGAGAAGAAATTCAAAATGTACACAATTAAAATGATCTGGGAGAAAATTCAGGCAAAAATTGATCACTCCAACAAAGAGATCACTTGACAAGATCACTTGGAAGCAAGACCTCAGACAATGAAGATAAAATATATAATCTTGAAAATAAAGTTGACAACACAGTGAAGATGGTAAGGAACCACGAATAGAATATCCAAGAATTATAGGATAACATTAAAAGAGCAAATCTAAGATTTATCAGGATAGAGGAAGACTCAGAGATTCAAACTTCAAAGGAATGCACAATCTCTTCAATGAAATAATATCAGAAAATTTCCCAAGCATGAATAATGAATTGGAAAATCAAATATAAGAGGCTTACAGGACAGCAAATGCACAAAATTACAACAGATCTACACTAAGACACATTATAATGAAAATGCCTGGCATAAAGAATAAGGATAGAATTTTAAAGGCCGCAAGAGAGAGGAATCAGATTACATATAGGGGAAGACCAATTCGGATCTCAGCAGATTTTTCAACCCAGACCCTCAAAGCCAGGTGATCCTGGAACAAAACATACCAAGCTCTGAAAGAAAATGAATGCCAACCAAGAATCTTATAACCTTATAGCAATGTTAAACTTCAGATCTAATGATGAAATAAAAACCTCCAATGATAAACAAAAGCTAAAAAAAAATTACAGCAAGAAAGCCTGCACTACAAAACATTCTTGGCAAAATATTCCAGGAGGAGGAAATGAAAAACAACAATGAAAATCTGCCAAGGGAGGAACTACACTAAAGGAAAGGCCAATCAAAGGAAAAACGAAGGCAAGGTAAAAGCCAAAAATAAACCAAAATGACCAGGAATACAAACCATGTCTCAATAATAACTCTGAATGTCAATGGCCTAAAGTCACCAATTAAAAAATAGACTAGCAGATTGGATTTAAAAAAAAAGACCAAAAATATGCTGCCTTCAAGAGACTCATCTCATAGGAAAAGACATCCACAGACTGATGGTGAAAGGATGAGAAAAAAACGTATCATTCACACGGGCCGCGTAAACAAGCAAGGGTTTCCTCTTTTTATCAGATAAACTGGACTTCAAACCAAACTTAGGGAAAAGAGATAAAGAAGGTCATTTCATACTACTTAAGGGAATCATACATAACAAGACATAACAATCATAAATATCTATGCCCCAAACAATGGGACTCTATTTATAGCAAACAAACCCTTCTAACTTCAAGAATCAAAAGACCATAACACAATAAAACTGGGTGACTTAAACACACCTCTCTCACCACTGGATAGATCTTCCAAACAAAAATTAAACAAAGAAACTATAGAACTCAATAAAATAATCAATAATTTAGACTTAACAGACATATATAGAATATTCCATCCATCAACAAGCGAATACACTTTTTTCTCAGCAGCACATGGATCCTTCTCCAAAATAGACAATATGTTATGCCACAAAGAAAGTCTCAGCAAATACAAAAAAAGAGAGATACTACCCTGCATTCTATCAGATCATAATGGAATGAAATTAGAGATCAATGATTGAATAAAAAATAGAAGCTACTCCAACACCTGTAAACTAAATAATATGCTACTGAAGGATGTATGGATAATAGAAGACATCAGGGAGGAGATTAAAAATCCTTGGAGATAAATGGGAACTCCAATACAACATATCAAAATCTCTGGGACACTATGAAGGCAGTGCCAAGAGGAAAGTTCATTTCATGGAGTTCATTCATTAAAAGAAGAAAAAGTCAACAAATAAATGACCTGACATTATGGCTCGAAGCCCTAGAAAAAGAGAAACAAACCAATACCAAAAGAAGCAGAAGACAGAAAATAACTAAAATTAGGGCAGAAATCAATGAAAAGAAATAATTCAAAACATTGACAAAACAAAAAACTAGTTTTTTGAAAAATACATAAAATTGACAAACCCTTAGCCACCCTAAAGAAAAGAAGGAGATGGGGCTGGGTTGTGGTTCAGCTGTAGAGTGCTTACCTAGCATGTGTGAGGCACTGTGTTCGATCCTCAGCACCACATAAAAATAAAGTAAATAAAATAAAGGTATTGTGTTCACCTACAACTAAAAAATATTTAAAAAAAAAAGAAGAGAGAAAACTCAAATTACTAAAATTTTTGCTAAAAAAGGAAATATCATGACAGACACTACTGAAATACAGAAGATAATTAGAAACTATTTTGAAAAATTATACTCTGGTAAAATAGGAAACCTTAAGACACTGACAAATTTCTAGAGGCATACCACCTACCCAAACTGAACCAGGAGGACATACACACCTTAAACAGATCAATGTCAAGCAAGGAAATAGAAGACGTCATCAAAAGCCTACCAACCAAGAAAAGCCCAGGACCATATGGACTCTCAGCTGTTTTACAAGACTTAAAAGAAGAATTAATATCAATACTCCTCAGGTTATTCCATGAAATAGAAAAGGAGAGAACCCTTTCAAATTCATTATATGAGGCTTGATCACATCCTGATACCCAAACCAGACAGAAACACATCAAAATAGAAATAGAAAAAAGCAATCATGAAATTCATTTGGAAAAATAAGAGACCCAGAATTGCCAATTAGCAATCCTTAGCAAGGAGAGTGAAGCAGGAGGCTTCACAATACCAGAACTTAAATTATATTACAAAGCTACAGTAACAAAACAGCATGGTATTGGCAGAAAAATAGACTTGTAGACCAATGGTACAGAATAGAAGATGTAGAGACAAACCCACATAAATACAGTTATCTCATACTAGACAAAGGCACCAAAAACATATATTGGAGAAAAAATAGCTTCTTCAACAAATGGTGCTGGGAAAACTGGAAATCCATATGCAGCAAAATGAAACTAAACCCCTATTTCTCACCAGGCACAAAACTCAACTCAAAGCGGATCAAGGACCTAGGAATTAGATCAGAGACCCTATGCCTAATAGAAGAAAAAGTAGGCCCAAATCTTCATCATGCTGGGTTAGGCCCTGAATTCCTTAACAAGACTCATAAAGCATAAGAAATAAAATCAAGGTTCAATAAATGGGATGGAT